ATTAATGATATTTAACTTGACATGAGTCACATCAGTAAATTCTTAATAGAAAAATCAAAGGAGACTAAATTTTTTAACTTTTAAAATTAAAATAGATTTTTTTAAAGAAAATTTAAAAATTAGTTCAAAAGCCTATACGATAACTGGGGAATCAAATTGCAAGATTTATCTTTTAGTTCTATATAAAAAAAGTGAGGATTTGAGATCCCTTCCATCAACCACCATTAAGGTCCCGTTAATTTTTTTTTCTTTTTTTCTTTTTGTTAAGTCCACGTTAACAAACTTTGTTAAATTGAAAAAATATGCAATAAGCCCTTCAAATAATTTTTTAGTAATTTCTATTATAATTGGGATGTCTCATTTAAATATAATGATTATTTTTTTGTAAATAATTAAAATTAAAATAATAAAATAAGCACATATATGTAATTTATAATTAACATTAATTTAGAGTATTCACATTAGTATATATTCCAATGATATTAAAGGTGAATTCAACATTACAATTTTATTAAGGGTTTATTTAAAAGTAAAAATTATTTTTGTAGCTATTATTATAAAAATAATTTAAGAAGGTTTATTGCTCGTTTTTCTAACTTAACAAAGTTAGTTGAGAAATTAAGCTTTAAATTAATGCAAAAGAAATCAGTAGATTAAAAATAATTTATTTATAAAATAAAGGATTGTTTTTTTTTTTTGAACATAAAATAAAATAAAGGATTGTTTAATAATTTAATCAAATAAAAAATAAATTAAGAGTATATAGACTCCACCTCGAATTAACAATGTTGTTTTATGTTCAAATACATATTAAAATTATAAGCAATTGGATAAAAGATAGTTTTTAATATAAAAAAAATCCATCATTTATTTAATAATATAATTTAATATAATTCAAATTAAACAATATTTTTGAACTTGACCTTTAGACTCAATTATTCGATCCCAAATCTTAAAAGTAATTGGGTGAGATGATCGAAATTTCGAACTTCAACACCGTTTTGAAAATCTCCAATCCCCCATCCCCAAATTGTACACTGTTTAAAAAAAAGAAAACAATATTTTCTTTCTTTCCTTCCAATATACTTCCCACAAAAATTTTGATTAATTTTTAAATAAAAAGTGATAAAATGTTGAAAGATTCACCCTCAAACTTTAATAAAATTGTTAACTTCATCCGCATTCATGGTTGTTTCGCATTTTTCCTTCCTGCGTTTCGCAACAAGACGAATCACCCTGGAGAGGACCGGGACGGTCTCATGACACACGGAACCTTAAACCCTCACAAAACCTTATCCTCTTCTCTTCTCTTCTCCTCGCTCTCAGAAACATAAACAATTGCATTCAATTCTTCCTATAAGAGATGATTCTAAGTGGGGTTCACTTCGGACAGAGGCGGCTCCTCCCGTCGCTTTCTCGCCGGAGGCAACCCTTTGTTACAGCCACAAGAATGGTCTCAACTACCAGCAACAACAAAGAGAAGAAAGAGAAGGTGGTAGTGATATCTGGGCCTACAGGGGCTGGTAAGAGCAGGCTTGCTTTGGAGCTTGCCAAGCGTCTTAATGGTGAAATCATAAGTGCAGACTCTGTCCAGGTTAGTCTTTATCTTTGGGTGTTGTTTTTTCGCTAATCGATTGATGATTCTTTGTGTTCTGATGATCAACTGTAGCAGAATACAAGGAAATTGTATCTGGGTTCCTGAGTTTTCATGCAAATAGAATTTTGAATTACAAAGAGAGAATTTTCATTTCTTAAAGTTCAGTGTACAGGAATAAAAGAAATCATATCCAAGTTCTTTTTTTTTTTTTTTCTGTAATCTGAATGGGGCATTGAAGCCATTGTGAAGAACTACAAGATAGTAAGGTATTCTCAGTCTGTAATTTGTTTTTCTTTAGCAGCAGCACTTTTATAAGCTGCT